CAATTAATCTATAGTTTGCTCTATAAAAAAAGTGTTTTTTTGTTCAATTTGCATCTTTTTAAATGAATTTCGGTTCACTTTCAAGCAAATTCGAGAGTGAAAAACGCCTTTTTCGTAAAAATCTATAAAAAACTCTACGGAAAAATTGGCTGAATGAATTTCTCTGAAATTTTGGCGAAATATCAAACTTTTTTTTCTCTATCTTTTATCTATTGACACGAAGATAGGTTTTCTTTAGCTAAGGTGTCTAAACCGCTCAGGCTCAGGCTCAGGCTTAGGCTGAGGCTTAGCCTGAGCCTGAGCCTGAGCCTGAGCCTAAACCGCATCATCGAGTTAGCCCTTTTTGACTACCCGACTTCATACTCTCAAGAAAATCCAGGCATTAAATATTTTTAAACCCGCTTTAATGTTATTTTGCAGAAAAATAATTGGTTTTTCTAATGAAATCAACCGTAGTTTAATTGGTGCATTTGTTGGCTTGAAACGGCAGACGAAAAAAATGAAAAAGACTTTTGCATCAACCTAATATTTTAATTTTAATATTCTAATAGTAATATTACCATTAAACCAAATTAAACAAAACACGGTCTCACAAGAAATTATAAAGATCAAAGTATAAATATATATTTCTTACACCTATCCTGATAGTAAGATAAGGATTTCCAGATCAGATCAGAATATGTCATACGTCTTACGTTGATGCCTAAGTCTCTACAAGTTCAAAGCTAGACTACGCAACACTCCGCACCGTCATTATGGGGGTGGGGTCCAATTACAGTATTTACGGTAGGTTGATGCCTAACTCTCTACAATTTTTCTTTCCAAACGTCTTTTAGAACCAAAACCGCCCCCAACAAAATTTCTCTTTATTTTTCTTTTTCGTTTAAGAGAGAATTTCTATTTAAACTATTAAAAAGGTTGATTGTTTCTCTGCAAAATGGCTTTTGCGAAATTCTTGGAAGTAGCTGTTTTTGTGGATTTTCAAAGGTACAAAAGCAAGCGCCCAAAACTGCTCCAATTTGAAGTCACAATTTGGACCACTTCTTCAATAAAAACCTATTTTGGTTCAAAAAGAAAAAAGATAGAGCTCATTTGATTCCATAAGTCTGTAAAATTTGAAAACGATCCGTTCAGCGATTTCCTTAAAAAAAGCAATTGAAAATGTTACACATAAATGCGTTTTTACCGAGTTGAGACGAGCTTTGAGCTTCTCTCTCAAAAGCCATTTTGTAGAGAAATGATAGATCTTTTTAATAGTTTCACAAATTTGTTAAAGAATTCTTTTCTATGAAAAGAAAAGTTTGAGAAAAAGTTGTAAAGACTTATGTAAAGACCAAATATTTCTTTTTCCTGGTTTGGCCCTGACTTTTGACCTGAAGGAGCAGTTATTTCAACTCAAATATATTTATTTTTGTCAATCAATTCAATCCTCTAGAAAATATCAACGATTCAATGCAGTATGACGAAAAATGCTAACGAATTACCATACAAAAATATTGGGTTGGTGAATTGAAAACTAAAATGAATTTGAACTAAAATTTATTGAACATGAAACCATCAATTCATTCGAAATAATTTCCATTATTATTGACGACTTCTGCCTATTTTACAGGCAATTTGCGGATTCCTCTTTCGTAGTAGGATTTTGGTTTGTGTGTGAGACAAGTGTGAGACTCAAAAATGGAGGACTGGAGATGTCCCAGTTTGAGCATTTGAGCACTTTCTTCAAAAGAAACCCATTTTGGTGTCAATGGAAAAGTTGTAGAGAATCAAAAATGAGGCTTATAGCCAAATTTCCAAAAAGACACACTTAGTAGTTTCGCTTAAAATGCAAGTTTTGTGAAAATTCGTAAATTTGGCATTTCTTGAAAACCAGTTTTTGAATCGTTCTGAAAATTTGGATATAAGCTTGATTTTTGATTCTCTACAACTTTTCCATTGACACCAAAATGGATTTCTTTTGAAGAAAGTGCTCAAACTGTCACATATGACAATAGCCGGGAGTTTTCAATTCACCAACCCAATAGATTAAGATCAGCCTTGATTTGCAGAAAAGTCAATGTCCAATTTAAGGATTCGGAGCCGGTCAGATTAGTTTGTTAAAGGGAAAGGGAAGGGACTTATGTAAAAGCTCTGCGCCAGACGACGAGCGATTACGTGGCCGCGCAAAGAACACACGAACACACAAATTTTAAACTTTTAAACTTAAGATTTTAAACACAAACTACCAAGTGTATCTTTTTGGAAATTTGGATATAAGCTTGATTTTTGATTCTCTACAACTTTTCCATTGACACCAAAATGGGTTTCTTTTGCAGAAAGTGCTCAAACTGACAATAGCCGGCAGTTTTCAATTTACCAATCCAATACATTTTAACTCTCATACATCTCCTCTTTACCACAAAAATAATCGCTTTTTTCTCAACCCAATACATACAAATTTTAATACAAAAAAGTTTTTGAATAAATTTTGAAATTTGAGATTAATCTTTCACTCTTTCCTAATTGATCTTTTATTTTAATAATCAATAAAACTATTTGTAAACAATTAGAACATATTTTTGTTTACAACTTTAATCCCAATGATGGCAAAATCTAAGTTTTACTCACCAATAAACCCTCCCCAAATCGTGCACATCGCCGGAGTGTAATCGAAAATGACTGGAGCGATGCCCTAAAGTTTCTTTTTAATCGAGAAAAGACAAAGAAATTAAACTTGAATCAAGAGTAATCTCAACAATTGTATATTCATCGCTTTCTTTTTCTCACTGATTAGCGCACCTCGCACGTAATTGTATCTGAAATTGAAAGAAAAATTGAAAGCGTCGATCGTGGCGAGAAGGTATAGGAGATCCAGCTCTTCCCAAGCTTCCAGCTCTTCCCAAGCTTCCAGCTCTTCCCAAGCTTCCAGCTCTTCCCAAGCTTCCAGCTCTTCCCAAGCTTCCAGCTCTTCCCAAGCTTCCAGCTCTTCCCAAGCTTCCAGCTCTTCCCAAGCTTCCAGCTCTTCCCAAGCTTCCAGCTCTTCCCAAGCTTCCAGCTCTTCCCAAGCTTCCAGCTCTTCCCAAGCTTCCAGCTCTTCCCAAGCTTCCAGCTCTTCCCAAGCTTCCAGCTCTTCCCCAAGCTTCCAGCTCTTCCCCAAGCTTCCCAGCTCTTCCCCAAGCTTCCAGCTCTTCCCAAGCTTCCAGCTCTTCCCAAGCTTCCAGCTCTTCCCAAGCTTCCAGCTCTTCCCCAAGCTTCCAGCTCTTCCCAAGCTTCCAGCTCTTCCCAAGCTTCCAGCTCTTCCCCAAGCTTCCAGCTCTTCCCCAAGCTTCCAGCTCTTCCCAAGCTTCCAGCTCTTCCCAAGCTTCCAGCTCTTCCCAAGCTTCCAGCTCTTCCCAAGCTTCCAGCTCTTCCCAAGCTTCCAGCTGTTCCCGCTTTTTTCAAACTATCAACAGTTTTGTGTGGTTGATAGCGTCAACTGATAGCATTTGTGATTTATTTTTCTTGGCCTTTAACTTGGGCTTGTTTTTGATGATTCTTCTAAGGGATGTCCGCTCTATATCCCCATTTTTTTGTGACATTTTCCGCACCGACTAGTTTGGCGTTTTCAACGATTCCTCACTTTTTTTGACATTTGCTGAAGTTGTTACCGTTCGCTTTCTTCCATTTCGCTTTCGCATTTGCACATGAGTGAAGCATTGTAACGGTAATTTTGGCCCACCCTGTACATTGGATATCTCAACACCAAGAAATTTGAGCTTAAAGTTAGATTGCCAATGGCGGGGCATTTCCGATAAGCAATTTAGAATAATCTCAACCTCGCAACCAAGAGAAAAGCCTATCAGAATCAGGAAAAGTTTCTCACTTTGTGCAAACGAAATCGGCAATGATTTCAAACAATTTTCCCGAGAAACTTCGACCCCAATCAAATTCATTTTTTCTAAAACAAAGCGTAAAGGTAATTTTGGCCCACCCTTTATGATAGAAAAAAAGCATTTAAATATCAGAAGAAGCCTTTCAGCTTTGTTATTCAACTTTGGATCATATCTTTTTGTTTTAAACAAAATTCCAATCAATATATTTCTTAGTAGACATTGAAAAAGACTCCAAAAGACTCCAAAAGACTCACAATTTCCATCCACACACGCAGATATTCGTGAAGATGATGATTTGAACAATGAGACAACTCAAAGAGCCGAGCATATTCCCGAAAAGAATCTCCACTTTACCCGTTTCTGGGTTTTTTAACTAAACAAAAATCTTAAATTATGTTTAGACGAGGAAAATTTTTGTCTAATTTTTGTTTCCTACCTTATAAACAGGTCCCATATATCCTAAACCATCAATGCTAACGTTATATCGAATACGGAGCTCATCTCGTCGCAGCGAATCACTGGCTGGCGATGGCTGAAAGAAATGATCAAGAAATTTCAGTACTACAGCCCTCATATCCCCTATGGCTTTATGCTAGATAGTGCATTTAAAAGCGAATAGTTGTGGGTGGTTTTAAAAAAAGCTATCTTTATTTTGAATTTTTGAGTACATTTGCGTTAAAGCCTCACAAAGTTTGCATTTCAAAAACAAAAAAAAAGAATCTCTGCATCATTTGCGATAAATCCCCGCAAAATTCGTTTTGTTTAGGGTAAACGATTCCGTAAATCCTTTTCATTTTCTATTTTTAATGCAATCGCTATGTTTTCGACCACGACAGCGACCACGACAGCGACCACGACAGCGACAGCAACGGCGACAACGTCAGCGACAACGTCAGCGACAACGTCAGCGACAACGACAACGTCAGCGACAACAACAACGACAATGCCAATGACAACGACAATGACAACGACAACGACAATGACAATGACAATGACAACGACAATGACAACGACAACGACAATGACAGCGATAGCGATAGCGTTTTTCTAAGCGACGGGAATACTTCCACGGGTTTTGAAAGTGTCGAAACGGTGAAAAAGGAACGATTGGACGTGCAACAGTTTATGAATGGTTCGATCGTTTCAAGTCCGGTAACACAAGTGTTGATGAGTTTTGAGGTTCTTGAACAACAGCCATGATTCATCGCCTGTGACGAGATTCTTCAAAAACGGTGCTTCCTCGTTTCGTTGCAACAAATCGGTGAAAATTCGAAGGCGATCTGCTTGGTTATTCTCGGAGAGTTCGTGTGGGACCCATCCAGCCAATTTCCATACTTTGCCAAGCTTTTTGAGATGGCGCACGATCGTTGACTGGTCAACATTGAATTCATCTGCCAGCATTCTGGTTGTCAGGCTTTCGTCTTCTTCAACGGCTTCCAGAAGTGCCTTGTCATCGAATTCTGATGGCCGTCCTCTTCCTGGTTCATCATCAACACTTGTGTTACCGGACTTGAAACGATCGAACCATTCATAAACTGTTGCACGTCCAATTGTTCCTTGACCAAAAAGTTCTTTGAGATCGCGAAACGACTCTGCGGCAGACCATCCCTTTTCGAAGTGGTAGAGCATGATATGGCGAAGATGGATATGATTGTCGACACGCATTTTGTTCACTAAAGAATAACGAATATTTAAAAAAAAGAAATAGACAAAAAGCTTTCAAAACAAAAAAGATACAAGCACGCAAAAAAGAAGTCCGGATAATTATGCATCAACCCAATAGAAAAGCGATATATACGAAAGAACAATTTTTGACCTAGATGTAACGATAAATTGCACAAGGCCCGTCTTTTCTAAGTACAGTCGACTCTTGATATAACGATCTCCGATAAGCTTTTATTGTTTCTTAATCGTTTCTTAATTTCTTAATGTTATTCACATACTTCTTTAGTTAATGAATACAGTATGATAAATTGCTATTACAATTTTTTTGAAAAATCTTGATTTATTTGTTTTGATATAACAATATGTTCGATTTAACGATATAACGATTTCAAGCGCCGGTCCCGAACGAATCGTTATATCGAAAGTCGACTGTACTAAAAGAAAATCTAGATTTATCCCTCACCTTTTCTCCAACAAGACTTGCACAAGCTTTCAGCCGGCAGCTCGTTGTTAGCTTTTGGCCGCCGTTCTTTAGTTGACCTTCAAGAAGTAGGGAAGTGGTTCTTGAGTTCACGGGTTCGTTAAAATCTCATAGTTAGAAAGCAAAAAAGACAAAAAGAACTTGATAAAAGATTTGCATACAAAAGTTGCATTTAAAAGAAAATTTGACTTGGGGAGGTTGAAATTTACATTTAAGCCTCAAATAAAAAAGGATTCGAGCACCGATGGTTTCATCATTCCAAACTTCTCCGACTCGTCTGGTTCTTCTGATGCTACGCGATATTCGATGCTTCATTGTGCAATGGGCACGTCGTCTCTGCTTAGGCTTCGGTTTGTTGAAATTTTCTTTCTTTTGATTTAATTTACCGTATTTACTCGAATAGAAGACCGATCTTATATTCGAGGTAGCCTGTTTTCTATTCTGCACTAAAGGGTCGGCACTATTTAAATACGGGAAAAGGATAAGTGAATTTAGGCAAATAGGGTAGAAAGCCTAGAATTTTATTCAATTGCATTATTTCTTTTTGTATTTGTTTTGAAGTCTACAGTACTGCCTTTAAACTCGAGGCCGTTGGTTTTTCAAAGAAAACCCTGAAAGAGGCGTCTGCTCGACAGTTTAACGTTTCTCCAAAGATGATTCGAGACTGAATAGCAAAAGGAGACTCAACTACGCAAGATTAAGGCATTCGCCCTCCTCCTTTCAACTCTTCTTTTGCCGTCCAGCCTCAAATCATCTTTGGCGTCACAACGGTCGAGCCGCCAGCCGCCTCTTTCAGGGTTTTCTTTGAAAAACGAACAGCCTCGAGTTTAAAGGCAGTACTGTAGACTTTCCATTTTGTAGCGCTTCTTATCCTTGTAGATTTTATGCGCGTTCATGAATGCGCATTCAAGCAATACTTGCCCTAAAAGCTCTATTAGAAGAGCCCCTATAGGATCGTCGCGTAGTCTAAGTTTACACTCAACGTCTTGGTTTACGCTCATATCTCGGCGCCCAGACATTTGTTTCTGCGCGCTTAGGTTAGTAATAACGAATTGAAGTAGAGAGAATGGATAACTTTTGAAATATAGCACATATTTTTAGCATTAACCAGCGCTTAGAATAAAATGATTGAAAGTGGCTCCCATTTCCTCTACATTAATTTGACATCTAAGCGCGCAAAAACGCTTCTATGGGGCTCTTCTACTAGAGTTTTTACGGTATTCGAAAATAGCAAATTGTCGGAATTAACGCTTGGCATCGTTCGTGATTTTGATTTTGACTAATGAAGTTCTGTCAATTCTTTTTCAGATCGCTACAATCGTCAAGCAGCCGGAAGTCACTCGCAACCAGGAGATCGTCGAAAAGCAGTATGTTTTTATTTAATAGCTGAAACTTTTTGAGTTTTATAATAGGATATTTGAAAATAGGGATCTCGAAATCTTAGCAAAACAAATAAGGTGTAATACATAGATTTGTGCACTGAACGTTTGATTTAATTGCTCTATTAATCGTCTATTTTATTATTTTTAGCCTACTTCGAAGCGTCGACGTTCGAATGCCACCCCCGAGCCGACCGAAACTACCGCAAAGAAAGACAAACCAAGTTCTCCATCTCCTCAATCTTTGGTACCTTTTAATTTCAGCGCTAGATTATAGGATTCTATAAATACACCTACTTTTCTCAGACAATAGTTTATAATACTCATAGAAATTAGGTTTAGAATTAGGTGTTTTTCGAGCTTTATCTAGGATTTTTTAAAATAGGGATCTCGAAATCTTAGCAAAACAAATAAAGTGTAATACATAGATTTGTGCACTGAACGTTTTATTTAATTGCTCTATTAATCGTCTATTTTATTATTTTTTTAGATTCCTTCGGAGAGACAAATTTGTGTGGTGGTTTCAAAGCAGAAGTGGTTTCAAAGCAAGTTTTATCTGCTGAATGATTGGACAATTTGCTATTTAATAGTCATTTATTTTGTTATTTTACAGGATCCGACGCGTCACTAACTTCGCGGCTCACAAGCAAGGGAAATGCTTATGAAATTACCTATAGCTTGCCTAATGAAGGGTATGACGTTTCTGAAAAATTCGGTGGGTTTATTTGTTTTGTTATTTGAGGAAATTTTAAATTTGTAGAATGCTAGCATTCTACGCTAGCATAATTATAAAGTTTTATCTGCTGAATAATTTGAGAATTTGCTATACAATAGTCATTTATTTTGTTATTTTACAGGATTCAAAAGCCTCGATGAGTTGCCGAATGAGAAACGACCAATCAATAAGCGATTTGAGGAGGGCACACTTTATCTCTACAGCGACGCAAGTTATAAAAAGGAAAAAGGGCTTGCAAGCGCGGGTGTCGGAATGTTTTATGGATTCGACGAAGATGGACTGAATTGGTAAGTGTTTTTATGCTATAACTATAGTATCGAAAATAGAGGTGAAAGTTTGGTCCAAATTTAGGGGCAAGAAAATTCCCAAACGTATGGAATGCGATGAGAGCCGTGGTGAAATTTTAGCGGTTTTATTGGGCCTGAACCGTTTGCTTCATTGGAAAGAATCTAGGTGATCAGGATTCTTTTTTACAATAATTGAATCCCATTCGGTTTTGTGCCTAAATAATCTTTTCGATCATTTAGGAATCAGAAAGTAGTTGTACGTGTCGACCGGCTGGAGGTGATTCAGGGTATCCTGCTTTGCAAAACTGGTGTGGCGACAAAAGACGAGTTGGTTTTCGCACTAATATTTCTTTATAATTTATGTTTAGATACGGGTGCGTGTGGGCAGTGGCAGCTTTCTTTGTTCACGGAGTGCAACTGCAATGGGTGCAAACGCACACAGATGATGATCCGGCCAACGCAAAAGTAATGCTTTAGGAAATATTATCTACAACAGAGTTTTATAGCTTAATTCTTAGTAGTTGATTGGTTGATTTTTGATGGGTTTTGTTAATTTCAGGCCGATCAGCTTGCTGGTGAAGTGGCGAATCCGAATGGGTGGACCCTAAGATGCGACCAGAAAGTTCAGGCGTGGAAGGACGAGTGGACGCGTGGAACAGAACCCCGAATTCTTCACATTCAAAGTATATTTTCGATTTATTTTGGAGAAAACATTTCTGGACCTATCAAAAACTATTCTTTTTTTAGCGGTTCAGAAATACCGAGAGAAAAAAGGCTCTCACAATATCATGGATGTCTACAAGGATGTTACCAGGGATACTAAGCTTCTAGCGCTTCTCGAAGAATCAATTCCAAAATGAATTCACTCACATGTTTCTCGTATTGAAACATTTCTCTCTCACATATTTCATATTCACTCGTCATTTATGGTTGCTACTCGTATTTCGAAATAAAATTTTTTGCAAATCGAGCGTTAAAATTTTTGATGTCTGGTCAGACTTGGCACAAGTGTTTGAAACAGGTGTACGGAACAGGTATTTGCGTGCAGACTATTTTTGCAGGGATGTGCACTACGCTGAAAACGCTTTTTACGCTTTTTGTGGAAATGAAAATGTTATTTGTTAGAATTTCTGTGTGAATTGTTCCTGGAATGTCCGCGCTGGAACCAGGGCCAGCCCGTTGAGAGCCTAACCACTTGACAACTAATTCTTGTTCAAGATTACGTGTCTAACGCGGTGATACTAACTACACTCACGTAGCGTAGGCGGACGTTTCTTTTGTGCTTTTCACATGTTTTGTGTTATTCACTCAAAAATTAAACAACTCGTATTCATTGACTGCTTGAAATGGTTTTTAGTATTTTGGTGGCTCGCCGTTGAAATTTTACATGCTCATTCTTATCATGGTTGATAAGCGGAGTTATCTAGAGATTGTTTAGAATTGAATTTTGTCTAGAAGCTTTCAATTCTGACTGTCTACTTGTTTTTGCGAAATCTAATTGTTTTTTATTTACAGGTAGAAGCGAAGCAAAATGTTGTTTGAAATTCGAAAGCTTACCTCATTCCCAATCGAGAAGCTATACTACGACCTAAAGCTCGAGGTTTTGGAGGAAATGGAGCCGAATGATGCGACTGAATTGATCAAGGTGAATGCAGGATTTCGATCAATCCTGCTGCGGAAACCCTGGATAGTTTTTGGGCGCCACGTGCACGAGATCAGTTTTGGTGGTTTCTGGATGTACATCAAGAAATTCCCAGGCTCATCCTCCTGGAGGTTTTTGTCGGAGGCCGATCTCCGCTTTCCATTGATCAAACGAATCCACTCGTGTGACATTTTGTGGATAGACTCGCATGACGAACAAATCAGCGACGAAGGCGCGAAGATTCTGAATATATTGAACTCTGTGAAACGTTTGTATCTAGAGGTGTACATAAACAATAGTTTGCTGAAGGTTCTTGAGAATCTCCCATCGATGATTGGAGAATACGCGAGCATTAAAGTGAACGTGCGTTTGTTGAAAGAAAACAAAGTGTTAAGCGAGCTTTTTAAAAATTTGTTTGCAAGTCAGATGAATGACTGCGAAGAGGTCAATTTGGGTTGTTATTCCGAAGCTGATTTTCACTTCTACAACGATGTTTTTGCCAGGACTTCGATCAAATTCATGACAATGCGGCCGATTTTCGTTTGGCACGACTTCGAAGAGATCGTGCAATCAATCGTTAAACGACAGATCCCAAGCAAGAATTTGAGGACGGCTTTTTATATGTATAGCTTTTTATGTAACGAGAAAAATGCCCCGATCGTGGATTTTCTTTCGCAATTTCCTGGAATGAAGCGTTTGGACGGAGAAAATCAGCAAGAAGTCAGCAAAATGACGACCGAAAGACTTAAAAGACTTGAAAATACGGGCGGATTATCTTTAAAGGACGGTCTCTTTTTTCGTCGAAACATTGACGCGAGCGGGGATTGTGTCTATATGCTTTTACCGGACAACCTGTTCACTCGTTTTTTTGCCTTCTACGTTCAACCCAAATTGGAAATAATGGAGTTTTGAGGGTTAATACTATTTTTCATTCAATTCATCTATTTTTGATAGCCTCAGTGTATTTTTTCTGTAACGTCTTTCGAATTTTCATCAAAATTTCAATCATTATTTATTTCTGTCAAAAACAACCTTATAAATAGCCAATGAAAAGTGAAAAGTGAAGGAGTCAGCCAAAATATGTTATAGAATGGGATACACATGGGTGGGAGATCATTTAAGATAAATATTGACAGCTAAAAAATTGCATTTTAGAAGACAAACTTTAAAGAGACAGCAAACTTTACAGCAACTTCACAAACTTCACAGCAAACTTTATTTAATAAGCTTTAACATGCTTGTAAATTATTAATAAGTTAATAAATATTTTATTGAAAGTTTGCGAAACAAGATTTATTGGTGCTTTCAGACACACAACTACCTTCCATTATGCTGAATAAAGCTTTGAGTTCCCAGAATCAACTATATTTTTTGAACTTTCATTACTAGCCACCTTAGAAATTTATTGAGAATTCAGTTTAATACTGTTATTAAATTGAAGCAGTGGAAATTTTTATTTTTGCATTCTTAATACTTCAGCTTTGATTAATTGTTTAGTTCAAATGGTTCATTTGGAGGAGATCACCGACGACAATGAAGAGCAAAAAGCGAGTCGAGCGTTCCACCACAAAGAACACGGGAATATCTGCTTTGGGAAGAAACATTATCATGGAGCCATCGTTGAGTACACTCGATCACTCAACTACAAACAGGATGCACTTGTTTACGGTAAAAATATCTTTCATGTGATAAATCAACGTCTTTTAGGTAATCGAGCACAGACAAACATTAATTTGAAGCGATGGCAGAGTGCTCTAATGGACTGCAATCGGGCACTACAACTTGATCCAAAGTTTACGAAAGGACTTTATCGGTTTGTTTACATGATTTTGAAATAACTTTTACTGAAGTAATGGACTTAAGCTCTGTCTTTTATATTCGACCACTAATATAAAAAGCTTTAGGAGAGCTCTCGTTTTGGATGCACTTGGACTTCATGAGAGTGCAGTGACCGATTTGGATCGTCTCATCAAAATGGCAGGCGATGTAGCTGCAAAAACATTGAAAGAGAAGATCGGAATGAAAGTTTGTTTTGTTTCTGAAAAGTTAAGTATAATTTTGGTGTTATTTTTTGCGAAAGTATCTTTGGGAAACTACAAATTGATTTTAGAAAAATGCACCCAATGTTACGTTAAAGTGTGTTCCGAGAGGCGACGAATTGAGAGCGGATGATGAGGATTGGATTACGGTAGATTTCGATGAAGTTGCAACATTAAACACTAGCGATAAGGTAAAGTTTTGTGTAAATAAAGGAATTAAGCACAATAAAAACAATAAAAAACAATGGATAAGCAATGGATAAATTCTTCTCTTTAGATAAACACCACAGCATCAACTTCAGCATCACTTGAAAGAAAAACCGACGAAACGTTTGAGCCTCCAAAGGTTTCCTTAAAAAGTCTTAATTGGACTTTTAGGTTTAGATTTTTGCCGATTTTGATTTTGCTTATTCCAAACTTCAACATTCTCCATCAGCTTTCGCTCATTATTGCTTAGTGAATTCTTTTTCTTCTTAAAAATCACTTTTATTGTTTAGCAAATTCCAAGGGAACGAGTCCGATTTCTGCTTGATTGTCTTTTCGAAGCTCGTCATTTGAAACTGTCATTACATGGCTTTTTGATCATTGAAAGGTTTGATTTTGATCATTGAAAGTATGTTAGTATACCTAATCAACGATGTACATACATGGTAAATATTCTGTATGCTAAGTTTATAGCAAAGTCAAGATTACCAGCTATTTTTTCATAAAATTATAAAATGTCCATTAAGCGTTTAATTTAATAATGATAACTTTGAATGTTTAGAGAAGTATCAGCCGATGATTTGGCTTCATTCTTTTCGCGACTTTCTTCCATTAATGGCGTTGATTTAGCTACAATGTTTCTGGAAGATGATGAAAAAGGATGTAATGTTCTATTTTTTGATTTTGTTTCAATTTCTCTTTAGATCTCGAGGAGTTACTACAAAGACTGAATCTACAAGAGATTGCTGTGAATTTCGGTTTGTAAAGATTTGTTGTTTTTCTGTTTTGTTGTCATTTTGTTTTTTTTTAAGAGAATGATAAAGATTGATCAAAATGAGAATACTTGTAACAATTCTGGACAAAAACCCGAGAAACCATTTTTGCGAAAGAACTGTTTGTGTCAAGTTGCCAAGTTTTTATACTTTTGATCGTTCCACCATCACCTCCATATCGTTTTTGCCGGTTCACCGTGTTATCCTTCTTATCCTTCTCTTTTTGCTTCACTTGCACCCTAACTACCGTAGCCGTGCAGACAAACGCGCGCCTAGTGAGAGATTTTAAATTCGATGAAGCCAATTACCCATTTCATCTTTTAATTGCACATACACGACGTTAATTTGTAGATTTATCTTTCGAAAATTTCAACTGCTACCCTTGGTTCACTATAACTTTTACCCAGAGTTGCATTTAGTCAAAGAACACGTAAAGGCTTGAACTTTACTTTAGGGAAAAACTTTAGGTATCCATTATTCGATCTTCTGTTAGTGAAAAATATATCAAAACTACCAAATTCACGTTTTTATCTCAACTTTTTTTTGTTCAAACTTTATAGTTTGGCCATTTTTTTTTATTATGGTTTTTTCAGATCGCGTTCTCCTATGGAGACCACTTACGGTGAAGCGATAGACTTAAAGCTCTGGTATTTGAAGGTTTGTTTGGAAATTTTGGTATTAAGTCATCGGTTTTTTTAGTTAGCACGTGGTCTCAAGACGGTGCGAGTGGCTGGCTTTCGAGCGCTTGATGAAAACAATTTGCAGAAATACATATCCAGTCCGATTGTGGGAAGGTTTGTGTTTTGTTGTTTTTGCCTCATTTAATTGACAAAATGCTCACACTTTCGGTCATGAAGTTGAAGTCTGAGTACAGACTCAAATGGTCTCTAATTTCTTTAGCCAGCAGATCCGTATTTTCCAGCACGACATCGACTTTCACGAAATTGCTGGATAGATTTTGTCGTATGAAATTTGTGTCCACCAAATTCTCGGGTATCCCACCAAATCTCAAAGAACCGTATCTCACCGACGACACTTTTGGCCCTTTGCCCATTGTCAGATTTTGAAAACCAGTCTTCATCATTTTTGGCATAACCTCTTGCAAAACTTTCAGCAAATCCGTGTGAATTTTAGCCCCTTCGGGAGCTCGATCGATTTTTTGGTCTTGGAGCCCGAAAGCAACTCCCGGTGGAGACAATGAGCTAATCTCGATCCAATTAAATCCTTCGGGATGTTGCAGAATCTTTTGATCTCGCCGTTTTTCGGGTAGAGCCTCGAAGTCGGGGAAAAGCTGAAAAAGATTTGCTCTTATCAGTATACAGACGACTGACTAAATTTGTTTATCGATAACGTTGTCGATATTCTCAAAACTGGGGTACGACTTCCTACAGTTATGCATTTAAACAATAGCTTTATTAAGACTTGCTCAGTCATGTTGGGGCAAATAGAAGTTACAATCTACAATTGGTATCATCGCTTACAAAAGAACGACCTCTCTTGAAGATCGGCCGAGGTCTGGCCGATCGACTGGTCTTGATGAATCCAATCTAACTCTTATACGCGAAGACAACAAAGAGTCAACCGGTGAGTTAGCTGCGAACTTCAGTGACGATACCACGGTTGACCGTCATCTTCAATCTATGGGCTACAAATTAAAATTCGGATCATGGGTCCCAAATGAACTGAGTGATGTAATGAAATGGCAGATGCTATCTTTATGCGCGAGGCACTCTACTCTCACGTTATCACCATCGATCTTTTTCCCCCACCTGATAAGAGGCGATGAAAAATGGGTAACCTATGTCAACTTTCGGAGACATAAACAATGGGTTCCTCCAGGCGAAAAAACAAAGCCCGACCCCAAACCTGGGTAACTTATCTCAATTTGTGTGGCCAAAGAGGTTTAATCAATGGCTCACGTTATTGTAATCTGTTTCATAATGGTTTCAAAACCAACCCCTTTGATCGAAGTTATCCTCGTCAGTGCTTCTTCAACACCCAATCGATCTTCAACATCCAATTTTAAACTTGAACATCTAAAGCGATTCGACTTCTCATTTCAATATGAACAGACTTATCAATCGTGTCCAGAAGCCGCTGAACATTTGAACAATTCGTAGATGGGAATTCAATCTCCGTCTCTTTATCAAGATTTCTTAAAAAATCCTTTTTGCTACTTCACTTATTGTTAAACTTGCTTTCTCCTGATCAGCTCCCAAAGGACCCATCCGGCTGCATAAACATCAGCCTTGAAGATGCTCTGAAACATTATTGTTTAAGGTCAAATTTTTGCGACTAAATGCGTTATCGGGCCAGATAGGGCCCGGAGACCAAAGTCCATGTCTGTCAAACTACAGACACTGGACCTGAACTTGTTTGGCTTACAAGCCTAGGGTGCGGTTAGATTGGAACAACGTGCACCTGCATCAAGCCAAAGAATTAGGAGATCTTGGAACTGTACATAGATGACGGTGTTGAGTAGAAGCCATTGTGCTTTGCATTTCGCATAAAATTCCAAACTCTACCTCGATACTCATATCCAATCCATCCCTCAATTCTGGCATAATATATCTGTTCGTTCCAACCATTGTGCGTTTGGTTGTACTTGAAGAATTCGGTTCAACCTTTTTCGCAAGACCAAAGTCGCCAATTTTCAGATGAAAATCGCTATCGACAAGAATGCTTAAAACTCATTTTTTTGACAATATCTAATTTGTTACTTTTCCGGTTTAATATCCCGATGAGCGATCGATTTCGACTTCAGATGATCTATCGGTGAAAAAATTTCCTTGGCCCATTGAACAATCGTCGAGATTGTATAGTTCAATTTGGGATTTGTAATTACTACAAAAAGTGGCTGAAAAATTTGAGAATTTAAAACTCACGTTCTCTAAGCGAGCCCTCGGCACAGTATTCCATGAAAATACCTTCTCTTGGTAGGTGATGAGGAAAATCGGTTGGACGATCCAAACACCGGACAATGTTCGGATGAACCGATTCTTTCAAGATCGTCAACTCTTTTTGTGGTTCTGAGAGATTGAGCACTCGGTGAATCACTTTCACGACAAATTTCCTGAAAATCCCTTCAGAACAGTAATTGTTTTCTGAAAAGGTTGCAAATTTTTAAGCTCTCTACATTATTAAAACATTATTTTGTCAACTATTGATTTAGCAGGCACTTAAGGTGATGCCTTAAACCAAAGCTTTTAAAGGCAAGTAAGTTTCACCAATGTTGGTCAAAGTTTGATGTATGGCTCAAAAACTTTAAACAACAAAAATAGACAAGATTTTAGCAACTCTTGATTTAGCAGATTAAAACCTGACTCATTGATTAGCGATCTTTGGCAGATAAACCGTCCCATAAGCTCCTTTCCCAATCGATTCGAAAAACGCCTTGTCAATTGAAATTGGACTTTCAGAGTTCATTTTGTTGAGAAAATAGAATATTAGCTATAGTTTGAAAAGTTCTTATCGATGATCGTCCACCATTCAAAGGCTCATTTTCTTGTGCAATTGGGAACTAAAGCTCTGAGTAAATGTTTCATTCGATGTCATTTAACAATCGAAAAAGAAATCTCTGTTTTGTTTTGAAACTTTTCTTTTCTTTTTGTGGCATATGCTACCGGCAAGATATTCTTACCATTTTTCGCTTTTTATCTGTTTTCGCTTATTTTCTGGCAGGTTTTGGGTCAAATCTTACACTTTTTCAAGCAATCCTTTGGGCCACACATTTTTGTTAAGTAATTTTTATTCACCGATGGTGATCCACTTTTTGGAATTGTTTTTCATCTATTTCAGTAAACACTCAGTGCCAAAAAGATGACACCAAAAAATTAATTTTTTGAAATAAAGCTTCTCTGCAAAAAGTTTTTGGCCAAAAATTGTGATTATAGAGCGTATTGCTGATTTATGCTAGCTAAAGCGTTTATGCTAGCGTTTATGCTAGCGTTTATGCTAGCGTTTATGCTAGCGTTTATGCTAGCGTTTATGCTAGCGTTTATGCTAGCGTTTATGCTAGCGTTTATGCTAGATAATATAAGGAATTGTTTTTGCTGGTGCAAAAAGTGAGCGGAATTTAAGCTGGAAAAAAATCATTTTTCAAAAATCTCTAAAATTTTAAGGGAAAACTGCACTCGTTTTTTTGCGAGTAATTTCTTGGAGTCGACTTGTAAATAATAGAACAAAATGTTCTTGAATTGGTGAATTCGTTTTTAAGAAACTCCAGTCAAACTTTTTCCGAGAACTTTCTTTCCAACCTAATATTATTCTATCTTGTCAACAAAATGAACTCTGAAAGCCTAATTTTAATTGGGAAAGGAGCTTATGGAAGGGTTTTTCTGCTAAAGGAGGCTAATCAATGAGTCAGGTTTTAATCTGCTAAATCAAGAGTTGATAAAATCTTGTCTATTTTTGTTGTTTAAAGTTTTTGAGCCATACATCAAACTTTGCCCAACATTGGTGAAACTTACTTGTCTTTAAAAGCTTTGGTTTAAGGCATCACCTTAAGTGCCTAACGCCAGGGCCATCTTGTAAAGTTGAGTAAATTGTTTTATGTTTTCAGAATTCTTTTCTTGTGCAATTGAAAGCGAAGGGATCTTAAGCACTGAGTAAATGTTTGATTCGATGTCATTTAACAGTCGAAAAGAAATCTTCGTCTTGTCAATTGAAATTAGACTTCCAGAGTCCATTTTGTTGAGAAAATAGAATATTAGCTATCGTTTGAAAAGTTGTTATCGATGATCGTCCACCATTCAAAGGCTCATTTTCTTGTGCAATTGGGAACTAAAGCGCTGAGCAAATATTTCATTCGATGTCATTTAACAATCGAAAAAGAAATCTCCTTTTTGTTTTGCCACGTTTTCTTTTCTTTTTGTGGCATATGCTACCGGCAATATATTCTTGCCTTTTTTCGTTTTTTATCTGTTTTCGCTTTCTGGCAGGTTTTGGGACAAATCTTACACTCTTTCAGACAATCCTTTGTGCCACACATTTTTGTTAAGTAATTTATCACCGATCTCGTTCAAAATGCAAAAATCTTAGAATGATGGATGATTTTCGATAAGGACTTTTTAAACTATAGCTATTAGGTTGGCAAGAAAGTCCGTAGAAAAAGTTTGCACAGTGATTTCTCAAAAATCAAGCCATAAATTCTTCCCAGATTTTTTGATAAACTAAACTATATTTCAAAAAGTTTTTAACAAAAAAAACAGAGTGGGCTTTAGGCAAAAAAATAAAAGATTTCTGCGGCGGAAGTGACTTTTTGGTCACTTTTGAGTCTTTGAGTCCGTCTTTAGACAAGTTTTTAATGGGTTAATGAATAGGCAATGGGTTTCATTCAAAACCTAAAATCAAGTACTTAAAATAGGGAAAATTTGTGATTAAAGCAAATTTAATCTAATGCTTTAACTTTTCAGAATCACCTATTTTAGTAAGCACTCAGTGCGAAGAAGATGAAACCAAAAAATGATTTTTTTGAACTATAGCTTCTCTGCAAAAAGTTTCTGGCCAAATAATAGAGATTATAGGTAAATATCTTTTCATCGACAAAGAGAATATTGTGATGACCAATTCCGTTGAATCCTCTCAAAAGCTGATCCCACCGGTCCTTTCGTTTGTCCTTTATGGCCACTGAAAGTATTAGGTTGATGCAAAAGTCTTTTCGTTCCTTTTCGTCTGCCGTTTCAAGCCAACAAATGCACCAATTAAACTACGGTTGATTTCATTAGAAAAAGCAATTATTTCTCTGCAAAATAACATTAAAACGGGCTTAAAAATATTTAATGCCTGGATTTTCTTGAGAGTATGAAGTCGGGTAGTCAAAAAGGGCTAACTCGATGATGCGGTTTAGACACCTTAGCTAAAGAAAACCTATCTTCGTGTCAATAGATAAAAGATAGAGAAAAAAAACGTTTGATATTTCGCCAAAATTTCAGAGAAATTCATTCAGCCAATTTTTCCGTAGAGTTTTTTATAGATTTTTACGAAAAAGGCGTTTTTCACTCTCGAATTTGCTTGAAAGTGAACCGAAATTCATTTAAAAAGATACAAATTGAACAAAAAAACACTTTTTTTATAGAGCAAACTATAGATTAATTGGTGAATTTGTTACTTTTTAACAGAAGTACGAAAAAAATGAAAAAGACTTTTGCATCAACCTAATATTTGTGATTTTTTCTTCTTGTAGGGCTTCAATTTGAGCTTTTCTTGATGATTTTGCTAACAGAAGTTCCCTTGATTCCTCGATATTCTTCCGCGCGATTCCTCGTGCTGACTGGTTAGGGTTTCGCCTCAAGCGTTCGCGCACCTTCTTGTCGGCGTAGCCACAATTGAACGAGAACCCTTCCTGGTCTGTCAGAAAATGTTCCCAAGGCTCGATAGCGTTTAATGGTTCGAGATACAAGGCTCTTGTAAACACCCAAGCGCTTCGCAAACTTCCATGCCGGATAGGCTTTCGAAAAAGCTCAATGATGCTCAATGATTGCTTGCCGATGTGGCGAAGATTTGACCATACCTGGAAATAATTAGTGAAATATAAATTAGCAAACAAACGTGACAACAAGAAAATACACAAAAAAAACCGCATATTTTCTTTCTTGTAAATGAAAAGTTTGGAGCATATTTATTTATTTGAATTTTTATTCCAAGTTTGACAAACAGCTACTAAAAATAGCATTGTTTTCTAAATTTATCAGGCAGCTCAAAATTTAAAAAATAAAAGTTTAAAAGGTGAAAGACACAGCTAAAAGTTCTATTTAAACTTTCGAGTTAAGGATTTAAGAGGGATTCTTTTAAAAAGCTTTAACCGTTTTTGTCAGAAAATGGCAGCGAATCGTTTGGTTTAATTTCTTTAAATAATAACTTTTCTGTAATATTTTATTACCGTATTTTCTCTAATAGTAGTGCACCACGGCGAGCCGAGTTGATGACTATTTTACGGTTTCCAAGCTTTTGCAGAAGCTCAACACTCAAATCCTCCACTAGATCTCATCGTCAGCTACATTTTCCGACCCCACATCGATAGGTTCTGATAAGCGGTTCTCGAGATTTCGAGCAATTTAGGCGACGCTCTGGGTGCACTACTATTAGAGAAAATGGGGCATTCTGTATTTCCTCTAATTGTAGTGCCCTCTCCTCCTCCGCCCGGCCTCCTCCCCCCGGCCGAGCCGAGTTGGCGACTATTTTACGGCTTCCAAAGTTTTCTCAGAGACTCAACACTCAAATCTTCCACTAGATCTCATCGTTAGCTACATTTTCCGACCCCACATCGATAGGTTCTGATAAGCAGTTCTCGAGATTTCGAGCAATTTAGGCGACGCTCTGGGTGCACTACTATTAGAGAAAATACGGTATTATAAAAATGAAAAATGAAACCAAAAACTATTTCATGTTTTGTCTTGATGAGGGCATTTTGCAAACATATCGTGGATAGGCCCAATCTGGGCCAATAGCTGACCATTGATGAAGCCGACATGAGGGATCGTTAGAGATCTAGAAATTTCTTGATGATGCTCGAGAAAAGTTCGAATTTTGTATCACCACATAGTTGGCCAATATCGGTGTGGGTTGTGAGTCGATGAAATCAACCGGTGACCCATCAGTCCATGATCCATTTCCAGGGAAACCAAATCCCGAATACCCAATGAAAGCCCATTGATGAGAACATGGATCAAAAACGGCATGCGTTAGATTGGCCACATTTGAATAGACAAGATCTGGAAAAGATTGTTTTTGATAAAAATAATATTTAAATAAGACCAAAATAATACCAATGATTTCACTTTTTCATTTCTTTTTCGCATAAACTAACCATAAATAAACTTGTTCTCGGCATCGGAATGAATTGAAACTAAATGGGAATCTCTGTCCTTCTTTTGACAGTTCGCTTCCGCTTCCGATTGATCATAGAATTGCCAATGAATATTATCGGGATATGAAAAATTCTAAAATTGATTGAAAAAATGACTCCGAATCTCGCTCACTTCTAAATAATAGCAATAATCCGTTTCGTTCGAGTAGATCCATCCATCAAGGCATTGATGATCTAGAAATTTGTTCATTAAAATGAAGTTAATGAAAGTTCAATTTCTTTTTCAATTTATAAACATAAAATGATAAATAATACGATTTATACTAATCAGCTAAAGAAAGAATTGAAGAATTGAAGAATTGAAGAGAAAATTGAAAATCCCTTACTGGGCATTTCGTTTGCAGAACAAAATGATGGTCTCTCAGTCGAACAATCGGTAGCATACCATTGAAGAGTTGAATTACCAAGATATACACAATTCAACGAGGAATTTAAACTTGGTTCACCTAGAAAATCCCAGGAATGTCTATTTTTTTAAGAAAAATCACCTGGAGCCCAATTTGTGTAGATAAGTGGACTTGCATCTTGATAAACCCAAGTTCCATTAGACTTTCGCTCAACACCAATAAATGGAAACTGATCATTTAATCCTAAAAAAAAGTGATTTTAAAGAATCTTTGTAAAATATTAGGGTGGTGCAAAAGAAACTGCCGATTTGACGGTAAATTCAAAAAAAAAGATGGCGTTCGATGGTGACATGATCACAATGGAATATTTTCGCAAGATCTCGAGCAGATTGGCACGAGCAGCTTGGCATGGATCGGCCTGAATAACGTCCCTCAGCTTGGCTTCGTTCACGACTTCTGGCCTCGAACCGTGCTCCATGACTTCTGGCCTTGAACCGTGCTCCACGACTTCTGGCCTCGTGCTCCACGACTTCTGGCCTTGAACCGTGCTTCACGACTTCTGGCCTTGAACCGTGCTCCACGACTTCTGGCCTCGTGCTCCACGACTTCTGGCCTTGAGCCGTGCTTCACGACTTCTGGCCTTGAACCGTGCTCCACGACTTCTGGCCTCGTGCTCCACGACTTCTGGCCTTGAACCGTGCTTCACGACTTCTGGCCTTGAACCGTGCTCCACGACTTCTGGCCTCGTGCTCCACGACTTCTGGCCTTGAACCGTGCTTCACGACTTCTGGCCTTGAACCGTGCTCCACGACTTCTGGCCTCGTGCTCCACGACTTCTGGCCTCGTGCTCCACGACTTCTGGCCTCGTGCTCCACGACTTCTGGCCTTGAACCGTGCTCCACGACTTCTGGCCTCGTGCTCCACGACTTCTGGCCTTGAACCGTGCTTCACGACTTCTGGCCTTGAACCGTGCTCCACGACTTCTGGCCTCGTGCTCCACGACTTCTGGCCTCGTGCTCCACGACTTCTGGCCTCGTGCTCCACGACTTCTGGCCTTGAACCGTGCTCCACGACTTCTGGCCTCGTGCTCCACGACTTCTGGCCTTGAACCGTGCTCCACGACTTCTGGCCTCGTGCTCCACGACTTCTGGCCTTGAACCGTGCTCCACGACTTCTGGCCTTGAACCGTGCTCCACGACTTCTGGCCTTGAACCGTGCTCCACGACTTCTGGCCTTGAACCGTGCTTCACGACTTCTGGCCTTGAACTGTGCTCCACGACTTCTGGCCTCGTGCTCCACGACTTCTGGCCTTGAACCGTGCTCCACGACTTCTGGCCTCGAACCGTGCTCGTAATCTTCCAAAGTCTCGTCTCCCTCTCGGAATCGTTGAAACCAAGTCTGACACTGTCTGAGAGACAAACTGCCATCTCCGAAAGCAGCACAAAGAGAACGATGCGATTCGGCAGCAGACTTTCCAATTTTGAAATTAAACAGTAATGCTGCTCGTAGCACAAACTTTTGCTCGACCATGATCTAAATAAAAAATTTTAAACAACAATAAAATAAAATATAAATATAAAATAAAATAAACAATAAAAATAAATAAATAAATTATAAAAAATAAAATAAAATAAACAACAACCAAAAAATTCAAATGTCGAAATAAATAGCAAACAAATGTGCGAACAAAACAAAAAAAAATAATGCCGTTAGCATCGCTCGTTTCTGATGAATGAGAGCTGACACCTGTCGGCAGTTTCTTTTGCACCACCCTAATAGATTCATCGTTTACCTGAAAGCAAGGCTCCGATATAAGAATTCTCAAAGATGTTCGTGATTTTCACTACAGTGCTGTTCAGTTGGGCACAAGTGGTGACGGCGTTCGTGTAGTTTTGAGCTGAACTTGATTTTCTTTGAAAATCACTGCTTTATAATGCTTTTTAAGTCTTAAGATGAATTTCAGAACAATATTTAAAACAAGATTCAATTTTAAAAGAATCATTTTCCTCATTATGAACAATTCATAACATTTCATTGCATTTTAAAACTCACATTTCTTTATGATATAGACACAAACATCATCACTCGGGAACTCATACCAATTATGTGGACACGAAGAACAAAATGAGACAAGAAATGTGAACAAAATTCGAGTTTTCATGTTAAAAAATAGAAGCGAAATAATGTCTGCTTCTTATCTTTTTATCCTATCATTTCTAGAGGCTAGCCAAGCACTGATCCGTCCCTTTTCTGTACCTCAAAACTTCCTGATTAGAAAATCAAAAAGTGAAATCAGACATCAAACTTGAAACAAAATTACTTTACCTTTTCTGTACCTCAAAACTTTCTGATTAGATAGCCAAAAAGTGAAATCAGGCATCAAACTTGAAACAAAATTACTCATCAGAAATGCGTTTTAGACAGAAAACCATCAAAAAAAGCTTTTGCTTTTGATAAGTAAATCGTTTTGCATCAAAGTATGAAAAAAGTGAAATCACAGATCCAAACAAACAGTAAATGGATTTTTTTTGTGTGTATAGAATTGTGAAATAGCATATAATTATTTATTCGATCATTTATTTTAAATCACATATGACCCGACAGTGAGCTCTCGTTCTGAAGCGACTCTTCCTCCACATCCACCATCGATAAAGTGACGGCAGTCATTTGTTTTCAAATCGTAGCAGTAATTGAACGAGCATCATATTGAATTTTTGTATGTTTTAAGCACAATATAAATTTAAATTCAATTATCGTAATCGCCGTAAAAACTTTAATAGAAGAGCCCCTCGAACCCCTCGAAATATTGATTCCTCTTATGATTATTGATCGAAATATTGTTCCCTCGAAATATTGACTTCAGACCCCTCTTATGACCGTTCTATGGATAGATCTAGACCTAAAACTTAACCTAAAACTTAATAATATTCCATCGACAGTAAAATTTAAAAAGTGATTTTTTGAAAAAATTTTGTAAGGGTCCCCCAAACGGATTATTTTGGAAGTCCTGGGCATTTCGGTTCTGGTCAAGAGAAATTTCTTACTTTTAAAGTCCTTTTTGAACGTTTGTGACCAAGGACTATCGCTTGAAAAAGTTTTTAGAAAAAACTAATTTTTTGATTGATCATGTGGGGGACCTTTACCTACTTTTTTGACCGGCCGTTTTTAGAGAGTTGAAAAATAGAAGAGCATGCTCTTTTATTAGAGTTTTTACGGTAGTTTAATTTGTCGTGCTTGTATTATTGCTACTGGACAACTCACCTGCAACGGCCGACTTCTTTGGAAAGAATCTAAGGGTTGGCTAAGTATAAAATGAGCTTTTAAGTATAAAATAATAAATGTTCTTTGAAATTTGTAGAGTTAATCACGCTCAGCCTTCTAAAGTTTAAAAGTGATACCTTTTTCTTACACCTATTGGCTTCGACTGACAGAGCCGCCATCAAGAAGAAGTAAATAAAAATTGCAATTGCAATTAAAATTGGCTGCTTAACTACCATAAATACTGTAATTGGACCCCACTCTAGAGGGGGAGGGAAACAAATAATACCCCACCCCTCTAATAGTACCCCACCTAACGCGTAATCACAAACAACGCTTTTAAAGCGGAAAATTGTCATCTATTTTCAGAAATCGTTTGTATTTTTAATTTTATCCCATAAATTTGTTGTTTTTAAATTTGGGGTAGCTACTTTGCGCCAAATTTTTTGGGCAGCTCGCCATAACTTTCTTCTAAGTGGACCAATCTTTATGATTGTAGATCTCAACAAGTGCAACAAAGTAACACCAAAATCATCAAGATTGGCCCACTTAGAAGAAAACTATGGCGAGTTGCGCACAGAATTTGGCGCAGAGTAGCCAACCCCCCCTTTTTTACTTTATTAATTTTATTTTTTCAGATATGGATCTCGTTGGGAAATCGCTCGATGGATTTGAGGAATATCGGGCTCGTTGCAAATACGAAAAACACAGGAAATTCTTCAAAGAACCGAGCGAGCCGAACAAGATGCCAATGGGAGCTCGATCAACGCTGAAGTTGAAGGATCTTCAAGTGAATCGGATGAGCTACCTACAAAGGAAAAGAAAAAGGCCATTAATGTGAAAACGAAATTGGTCGTTGCAAAGATGGGCAATGATGTTTCGATCAAAGCAGCCGCTGCATTCTATAAGATTGATCGAAAATGTGTGCGTTCCTACATCAAACAAGAAATCGAGCTCGAGAAAGTCCACGGAAAACGCAAGAGACTCAATGGAGCCGGACGCCACTTGAAATCGGAGGGGATTGATATCGGTTCGCTACATTCGCCAGCAATACGTGTACGAAGGGCTTTACATAACAAAATCGCATGCGTTGAAAAATATTCAACTAAAGAGAAAAAAGGGGTCACAACGGGTTTCATGAAATTGGAGTATTTTCTAGAATAGGCGAACCATGAAAGGCACGAGCATCGGAAACTCGCAAAGATTGGATATAGAAATTCAATTTTGAAATTTTTCCAAAGCTACAAGCGAAAATTTTTCCCGAACTGGGACACTTTAATCAATTTAACAAAAAATTCCCCAATCTGCTCCCGTTTCACTGGATATATCTACTTTTGGGATTGGGTCACTTGCGGTGGATTTGAGTCGTTTTTCTGTGAATGTTCTCCAAGATGCGAGCTGCTTAGCTATCCAAAAGTGGCTCCAAATGAGAATTTAAAACTGAGCTTTTCAGCTTGTCGAAGGAATTTCTATGAATCCTTCTTGGAAGTTCATTCACTTTTCGAGAGAGCTTTTAGGTTAATGAACGGATGAGAAAATGTGGGAATGACGAGGAGTTCTCATTCGTTTTTGATTGAGAAGCTTTTGAAAGAGATTGCATCGAAGTTTTGTCCTTCTTACGGATTTTATTTCCTTTATGTAAAGGGAATGGGGAAATGGGAAAGACCGAGAATGTTGAAATCGACGATGAAAAATCATGGGAAAATCGAGAAAAGTCTTGGAGAAGGATTGATCATTGCAACGAAAGGAAAAAACGCGTTTTGGATGAGAAATTTCAGATTTGGTCCGATAAATGGGGAAAGTTTATTTGAATATATTGGATTGGTTTATGTGAGTCTTTGGGAAATTCGGAAAATATTGGGAATCATGCACGCGTACGTGTGGAGCTTGGAGAAAGGTGGGTTTTGTTTTTGTTGGCTTAGAAAAGGATAACAGTTAGACCTGTGACCTGTTAGACCTAGTTGATAATGTGAAAAGAGGGCGGTATCCCTTTTAAAGTTTCCCATAAATGTTAGTGTAAACGTGGGAATTTTGTCCTGGAACTGTTTTAGTTGCGTTCGTTATGGTTTTTCTGTCGACAAAGCAAAAAAAAAACTAGGATACTGTTGTAAGAGTAATCGTTCCTCTAGGTTTTATCCAATCTATCTACTTTTGATATCTTTAAGGGTCTTTTTTGAACCCTCATGAAATCAGACAGAAAGTACAATAGGTAAACTGAATGAAACAGCTGCCAGATTACATTAGTTTTCAAAAAATTGACACATTTTAGAAAACTGTATTGGCTAAAAGGTCCATAGAGACTCTATCATTAACTTTAGTGGACCCAGTGGGAACGATCGAAAAGAACAACTACTTACAAGACATGGAAGAAGTGATAAAGGAATTTTGGGAGAATAGAGTCATCATCAAATGAGTTCATGACTTATCTCCTGGTATTTTTACTTGCTCTTGTTTTCTTTGATTTCATGCTCTTCCAGCTTTCTTACTATTAGTTCCTAGGCTTTTACAAAACTCCACATTTTCAGAAAGTACTTTATTTTATAGAGTTCTTTACAATCAGATTTATCTTTTTATAAACTGCTGAATCCTTTTGGGAATTGGGAAAGTAAACTTGATTTTGTAATTTAATTGAAAATGCGTTTTGTAAATGTTCAAAGCACTTTTTGATGCCCAAATATAGCTTTTACTAGACATGTTGATTTACAGCTTTTACTAGACATCTTATCGATACTCGATAAGACAAGAATCCTTATTGATCTTATCGATATCGATACTCGATAACGCTTAAGCGAAGCGAAAGATATCAATATGAATACTCGATAAGCCTTAAGTGAAGCGAACCTTATCGATAACGATCGATAAGCTATCGATAATCAAGGCTCATTTTGCTCATTTTCGCCGATTTATTTGAAAATTCAAAATTTAATGCCACTTTTTGGATTTTTTGGAGAAAACTTTTCAAGCGTTACAAAATCGCATAAAATCTCAGATACTTGTCGATATTCGATGAGCTTATCGAGTATCGATAGCTTATTGATTATCGATAGCTTATTGAGTATCGATAGCTTATCGATCATCGATAGCTTATTGATTATCGATAGCTTGTTGAGTATCGATAGCTTATTGAGTATCGATAGCTTATTGGGTATCGATAGCTTATTGAGTATCGATAGCTTATCGATCATCGATAGCTTATTGATTATCGATAGCTTGTTGAGTATCGATAGCTTATCGAGTACTCGAGTCGCTTCGGTTCGCTTCGCTTATCGATAAAGATCGATATCGATAACGTATCGATAAGCATGTCTAACTTTTACTGTTGAAAATTGGGAGATCTGTTAATGGCTTTTGTCTCAATATTTATTCATGAAAAGGATCAAGATATAAACAATAGACAAGCTACAAAATCCCCTCATTACTTTTCCTCTCATCGCTTCTCGTTTGAACTTTCTCGTGAAGACTTTCTTTTGTGACCGGTCTGATGCCTTTTATGGTGGAGTGGGGATTGTGAGTGGTGGAAGAGCCTCGATCAGAGATACCAATCATTTTCAGTGCTCGTTGACGATAGACCTAAAATTAAAGCTTGCAACTTTATGTCCAACAATTGAGAGCACATTTCTACATGGATTTCAAATTTGTTCAAATTCAAATTGTGCCTCTTAAGTAGAGTGTGTTCCTCTCGAATAATCTATTTTCTAAAATGCACCTAGTTTAGAAAGTGTCTTAATCAAACCGCCTAGCTACATTGAATCAGTTTAATTTTGAGATTCAATGAGGAATCACAAGAGTCAGTCAATGATGCAAAAATCGGGCTGATTGATGGATTACGGTAGCTTTTTTCATTTTGGAAAACGGATTGAGACTAATCTTATTTAAACTCTTTCATTCTAGTATGAAATGATAATTATCAGAAGTTCAGTGAGACTCACCGCAAATCCAAATATGACCATGATTGCTTCAGTCGGAGAGTAACAAGCGATTAGGACAGGAATGTACATGGCACAGTTTTCCAAGGGAAGACCTAGAAATTATTTTTGAATCAAGTTTAACGCTGTAAATTGATGTGTCACCACATGCTTCCGTAGCGCAGTCGGCAGCGCGTCACTCTCATAATCTGAAGGCCGTGAGTTCGAGCCTCACCGGGAGCAATTGTTTTTTGGTTTTTTGAAAAAAGCTTGTAAAATTTACATTCAAACTTTAACTTTAAATTGAGAATTGAGATTGAAATTTTCAGGACGATTACGAGCTTGAACCTGAGCCTGAACCGGAGCCTGAACTCTAGTTTGCAATTCCTATTCTGTTTCTACTCAACAAAACATGGTTCAGGTCGGTAAATTTTCATGCTAGCCAAATTCCTTTCCTTTGCAATTACTTTGCTTGCCACTAACCCAGAAATCCTCCCCAAATCGTCATCATCGCTGGGATGTATTCGAAAATCAAAGGAGCTAAAGCCTGAAGAAATATTGTGACAGCTTAGTTTTTCAGTTCTTACTTGAATCAATAATAACCGAAGTAGCTGAAAGTTGACCGCTTTTGCTTTGTCACTGATCAGAGCCGAATGGACAAAGAAATATCTGAAAGGGTTTTCATTTATCCGTTTCATTACCGTAACTGGGTTGCTGTATTATTACTTAAAAAGATTTTTGGCTAATTGTATGTTGGTATTTGATAAACAAGTGTAAGCATTAATCGTAAATCTCACAATTTCATGCCCGCCGCACAAATCGTCCAATAGATCGTCAACTGCATCACGCAACAGCCAAACGAGCCAAGCATGTTTGTGATTAAAAACTTGCTTTCACCAGTTGTTTCATCGATTAGCTGAATTATTAGCTGAATTATTCACAATTTTACGAATAAAATACTTTGTAAACGGGTCCAATATAACCGAGATTGTCAATAGAGACATTGTATCGAAACAAAAGCTCATCTCGGCTGATCATTTCACGTTCGGGAGTTGGCTAAAATGAGGATTTCAATGATATCTTAAACTTTGACATAATTATATAATATGTTATTCATTTATGTTAAAATTAATCTATAAAAAGTTATATCGGTTTTTGCAGATTTTGGCTTAATCTTGAAACTTACTTTCATTGTGAAGTCACACGAAAGCCCATAGAGGATACCGCCGGCAAAATGAGCAATTGTCAATGCGAGAATACCATACCAACGATCAAAAAGAGTCGTGAAACGTCTAAAATTATATGCTACATAAGAACTTATTCGAAATGCATCAATAATTTCAATTCTACAGTGCATAGTGGAACGTGGATAGAATGAACTTCAACAACCGTATGCCTTGTTTAACTCCTAGTTAGCCTAACTCTCGCTAAAACTGTAATTTCAGTTGGCTATCGTTATATGTGTGCGACTGTAGTTATTATATGATTGCTGTAATGACATGACTGTAATGAATAGTTCCGATCCGGTTCCGATTCGGTCCCATTCAGGTCCGATTCGGTCCCATTCAGGTCCGATTCGGTCCCATTCAGGTCCGATTCGGTTCCATTCAGGTCCGATTCGGTTCCATTCAGGTCCGGTTCGGTCCCATTCAGGTCCGGTTCGGTCCCATTCAGGTCCGGTTCGGTCCCATTCAGGTCCAGTTCGGTCCCATTCAGGTCCGGTTCCGATCCCATACGGTTCCGACCCGGTTCCGATCCGGTTCCGATTCGGTTCCCATACGGTTCCGATTTGGTCCCCACTCCTATACCAAAATCTTAATCGATGAAGCGTAATGAGAGTTGTTTCAAATGGGCTGTAATGACTATTTCAGATATCACTTTTAACAATATCTATCTAACAAATAGAAATCAATATCACAAGAAGAAGCACAATAGAAACAATTGAAAATGAGCAATCATCATCCTGACGACTACGCGTCGCTCCAGTTGACATGTACAAGAGGTAAAACGGGAGTTAGTGCAAAATAGAAAACAGTTTGTGCGAATCTTTTCCCAAAAGTAGTCGATATTAGACTTGATAGCATTTCCTTTATTTAAAGGTTTACCCAGAAATTTTCACATAACGATATAGACAATGAATGGCCAACAATGAGAGAGACATCTCAAAGGAAACGACGTACAGCTGAAAGAATTGTAGATATTTTTTTTTGTGAGCTTACTTACTAACACTCCAATATACGAATACCAGAAGCCGAGTTTGTGGAGATTCTTGCAGAACATCAGGAACCCAGTTTGATCAATCATGAAACCCTACAATGATTGTCAAATTGTTTTTAAAGCTTCAAAAACTCACCACATCAGCTAGACAATGAACAAAAGCGTAATAAATATTGTAAACGGTGACGATTGCAAGCATTTTTCGATACCCATCACCACCTTTCTGGAAGTCACTTTGAATTTAAATCTTTTTTGAAAGGCAAGTTACAGTTGATACTATTGGGTTGTCCAGTTATGAATGCTATTATTTTAAAGCTGAAGATCTCCTCTACATTTTGATATAAAAAGCTTTTGAATTTGTTGGGCTTCTGGACAAATTGACTGCACAGAAGAAGAGGTGGCCAAAAAATGGAAGTGTGTCTTTGGATCAAGTTTTGGCTCCGCTCAAATTGAGTTAACCGTTTGATGTTTGGCCAATAGATATATCAATACAAGCGTTTTTTAAAATATAACAATTTCAGAGCATCTTTACTTTTCTGGGCGGTTATTTTCCACCATAAAACTTGAGGAATAGCTAAGTTGGAATGGGTTTTTTTCGAAAACGACCTCTCCCTTTGTGCAATCAATTTGTCCAAAAGCTGAACAAACTCCAAAGCTTTTTATATCAAAATGTAGAGGAGATGTTCAGCTTTCGAATGATATATAACACTCATATAAATCTGTTCGATATCTTGAGGAATTTACAAAATAGTAAAAACGCGCATTCATAACTGGACAACCCAATAGTTTTATGCTAATTTTTGAATTAGCATATTAGATTAAGCTTTCAAAGTCATGCAAAACCTTTTAAGAATCAAGGAAAGCAAGGTAAGTAAAAAGCCCTGAAGAACGGATAAGAAATGAACAGTTCTCAGGATTTTCTAAAAGCCAAGTGACCAAGGGCCAAGCCAAAACAAGGAAGTCGATCGATCGGCTTAGCTTAGAAAAGAAAATTGTAACCCTGAACAGTCTGGTCAGGTTTTTATGTAGCACCGATTAAATAAAGCCTTGACAAATTCACGTTTTGGCCATTCCTTTATCAAAGAGACTAAAATACAAACCGCTCGATCGGTTGCAATCATGTAGAGAAGCAAGAGATTGAGAAGAATTCCCAGTCCTCCCACTGTGTAGATCCAAATCGTTTGTTTATACGAATCCATTACTGAAATGTACTTTAAAATGCTTTGAAATGAATTTGGACTTCTGAAAAGAGTGAACAATTTTTTCTTTTAAAAAGCGATCACAAAAATCACAAAAAAAGATGACACTTCAATGATCATAAACTTCATCAAATATATCTTAATATGAATCAAATATCTTCCAGATCCTAATTTTGAATGCTGATCTCTTCTGAAGAGCTGAAAGATACTTTATTCAACATGAATAAGTGGATACAACACAACGGAGAACACAATTTTTACCCCTACAATGTAGTTAAGAAAAAACCCAACTTAATGGGAAAAAGAACACACTTGATTTTGCCAGCGAGATCGAAACCTCGACCTTCCGATTAGGAGACAAGACTCCTAACCAGTCGGCCAACTGGAAAAGAAACACTTTTTTTAAGTAGGAGATTTAAGAATGGAAACAATGGTTTGTATTTTAACTATTGAGGAACAAAAAGTCATGAGCGAGACAAGAAATCTACCAGGAATACGTCAGTGAGAAGAATGGAAATCTTTCAAAAACTAAACTAAAAAAAAAGAGCCTATTTTCGCCGATTTCCAATCATTTTTTTCTAAGCGCTCGTTAAAGTTAAAAATAAGTGCCATATCTCAAAAAATCACCCATCCTCTCTACTTTAATTTGATACCCAAGCACGCAGAAACAAACGTACTGGTGTCAAGATTTGAGCGTTTGTTTAAGAGTAAACTTAGACTACAAGACGCTCCTATAGCGGATCCCGCTATAGGAGTTCTATTAGAGTTTTTACCGTATGAGCAGTAATTTACCTCTCATCAGGAAGTTTCCAGACTCACAATATACTCTGGAAAAGGCCTTAGGAAAGGTCGTAGAGCTTCAAAAATGTTTTCATGTAAGGGAATCGTATGCGTAGATTCCGAATTTCGACAAATCAGACCTCGCTGACACGTCAAATTTGGGCTAAAAGGCAAAAACTACGCAACTTAACGCTTTTCCGCAGTTTGTGCCTTTTGAATGCTAAGATAGACTAATGAAAAAGAAATCTCAAAGATTTGACGTTATTTTAAATTCTAAAATTTTATTATTTGTCTCAGAAGGCGTAAAGCTCAAGATCTTTGTCCTATCTTTGTTTTACAAACGCGTCAAAATCCTCTTTTTCAAGTTCATTGAATTCATTGAATTGCGAGAATTTTCATAAAAAGTGGCTAATGGCTAATTTCGAAAAGTTTTTCTGCTAGATTAGGCTAATTTTTATCTAAACATGAAAACTTTACAATATTTTAGAAAAGTCTTCGAAGCGAGAGGACTTGTTGAGTTCACTTTTTGAGATCAGCACCAGGAAATTTATGTGAGAGACACTGTAATTGGTGGTTAGAACTGAGGAAAAAAAAGCTGACTTTTGAAGAAACCTATCTTGGAGAGAAGATTCGTAGTTTCCAAGTAAATTATATATAATAATAGGTCTATCCAATCTACCATAGGACCCAAAGATCACAAAAATTTCATCACAAAAATTATATACTAAACTTAATTTGGTTTTAGTGAGAATTGAATTCGCATTCGGATTGAATCCTAACAAGTTCAGAATCAATTATTACTAGAAAAGAAAAGCTATCAGCTATCAGCTATCACTTTTGATTGTGAAAAGGAATTTAAAATTTTCTGAAAACTTTTCAAACCTCATCAGGATTGCTCATTTTACAGGAATACTGAAAAGATGAAATTTTCGTAATCAATTCCGGAAATCAGAAAATTCTTGAAGGTTTTTGGAGAAAGAAGAACAGAAAAAGAGCTTTTGGGCTTTCAGGAAATGATTTTTGAGGAAATTTCATATCCCGATTCATCTAGTTTTGACCATACATGCAACTTAAAACAAATTTTTTTTAATTTATTACTTTTTATGTCAATTATAGTAAATATTTTTGAAAATAATAGCAATGAGATTTCTCTATGACATTTGTGGACTCGTATTGGAGCGCTCATATTGGAGCGATGAAGAAGATTCTCAAGGACGAATGATCACGGACACGAATGATTCTCAAGAGACGTTTACGGTAGGCCTGAATACTTTTTGATTATGAGGGAAACATAAATGAAGCTAAAACAATTGTTAATTTAAACAACAATTGTTAAAAATTGCCTCTTGACTCTTTAGTTTTCTTCGTATGATGGGTTTTTTGAGAATAAAAATTCCATTTTTAGGCTTTTGGCTTTTGACGACTAGCTTTTGACGACTAGCTTTTGGTGACTAGCTTTTGGTGACTAGCTTTTGGTGACCAGGCGTGGCTCTTTTATCTTGCATCCCGAATCTGCTTTCGAATCCGAATCTCGAATCTAAATCCTCTAGAGCTTTTTTTGTAAATCGTGTGATTAAAGTTTGGAATGCCCTTCCCGACAAGTTGCGTTTGATCTCCACCGTGTCTGATTTTAAAAGGACTACCTCGTTGCATTTTAAATGACTTTGTGATCTTTTATCTGGTACATTTTTCATGTCGTTTTCGCACTTTATTTCTTTCTAAATAAAGTATTTATATAATTTGTAAAAACTGATCGACCAATCATTTAAACGACTATTAAAATGAAAATTTTATTCTACAGCGATAATTTTAATATAAATTCTGTACATTTTGTAAACAAGTTGACAGTTTTTTAACTAAACTTTTAAATTTTTCTGTTATTTGTTTCGAAAGCTGGCTTCTGAAAGCAAAATAATACGTGATTTTACTAATTATATCGAAATTTTTATAGCCAATCTTTTGCATTATCTTTTAGAATAAAAAAAATTAGCTACAGTACCCTTACTACAGTACATGACGTAAACTTTGAAGCGAAATATCTCAAAATTTTAGAACCGTCATCCCTAAACGACATACACCATCGGAATTAGCGCAAAAAAAACTGAACAAGATGTGCTAGGTCTTGGCCCAAAAGTGAGGTGTAAATCAAAAAGCATCCCTAATTATTTACAGAACCAAATCTCTGGAGAAAAGGAACCAAATCTCTGGAGAAAGGGAACCAAATCTGTAGAGAAAAGGAACTAAATCTGTAGAGAAAAGGAACTAAACCTAGGGTGACTGGATAAATCCGGTAATTTGTTAGTTTAATATGAAAAATGAATGTCTGACCATTAAAAAATGAGCCACAAAAGCAATTCTAATCCCTTTTCACTACCTAATCATTAGACTTTTTCTTTGCTTGTTACTTTTTCTTATTCATTTTACCGTGAATCTAAAAATGATCATGATCGCTTCAGCGGCTGAATAAAATGAGATTTGAATTGGCACGTAAATGGCGAGATTCTTCAAAGGGAGACCTAGACAGCATTTTTTGTGAAAAATCTTTTTTCATGTACCAATAAATCCGCCCCAAATTGTTGCAAAGCATGGTATATATTCGAAAATTAGTGAAGCGATTGCCTGAATATCTTTTTTACGTTGAATTGTTGACTTTGAACTTGGATCAAAAGTAGACGAAACAATTGGAGATTCAGCTTTTTCGCGCGCTCACAAATTAACACATGGTGAACGAATTTGTACCTGAAAAATCTTTTTTCATGTACCAATAAATCCGCCCCAAATTGTTCCAAAGCATGGTGTATATTCGAAAGGGTTTTCTAAAATTAAATGGTTTAAAAAAAGGAGCTCTGATTTGTTTTCAAAGAGCAAAGTTTTCAAAAACGATTTGAAATCATCAAAAACATCATTGAAATCATTGAAATCATTGAAATCATCATCAAAAACATTAAAGCTAGTCTTTTGTTTGCTTTTGGAACTAGCTGTAAGTCTTTAAAAGCTTTTTAAACTCTCAAAATCATAGATCTGCTTCACAGATTATGAATTCGTTGCTTTTATTCTTTACTCGGGGAATTTTAGTCCAAAAAATCAAACAAACAATAGACCTGGCAAACTTAATTCTTCATTTTTTTACAATACCAATCTCTAACATTTTAAGAAAAAAAAAACGATTTCTCAAAAACCTTAAATTAAGGTTTTCGCCAGGTGTACCGCGACTTTTAACTTTGTACGCTTTTAACTAACTTAACTTTTAACTTAACTTTAACGCGACCATATAAAGATTTTGGAAGAACCAATCTGTTAGAAAATAGGCTTGGCTACAGGAGACGTACTCAAAAATCACCTCCAAAAATTTCATACGAATTCATTGTGTTCTCGCTGAGCTAGACGCTCAGAAGTGAGTTGATATAATTCGCGGTCACCCTGTATGATTCAAGATGAAATGTTCATAGTAAGGTGCGGAATTGATACATTAGTTAAGGCTTTTGGAAATCATTTTGGTTATAAGCTCGTCAAAACCTTCAAAAACATCTAGTTTCGTAGACAAAATACAATTCTCTGTCCTAGATATTTGTAAACATGAAAAGCACCTACCGTAAATACTGTAAAAGTACCCCACCCCCATAATGATGGTGCGGAGTGTTGCGTAGTCTAGCTTTGAACGAGTTTTTCTCGACACTGGTTTATGCTACAATGCGCGCTTAGGTATCAAAAAAATAGCCCTGAATTTCAGCTATTTTTTGATACCAAAGACGCATTTTTTGAAAGTACGGGCGCTTTGAAAAAAAATGAAATACTAAAAAACTTTTGCGACTACGCGACTGTACGAGGGCGGTGGGGTACTATTACGGTATTTACGGTATCCTATTCAATTCCTAGTTTGACTAGAGTGGCTAGAGATTTGTTTTTTCAAGGGTGCTTTTTGGATCCCCAAGCTTCTATTGAAGCTAGGCTAGCTGGGATAGAAAAACCCTGCTTTGTAAGCTTTCCCGAAGCGCAACTTTTAGAAAACAATTTGATCCAGAGAAATCGGAAGTGTTCATACAATTCTTACCAACTTTTCAGGACTAAAACATTTGTTTTTAAACATTAAGCTAACAACAAATGAACCAGCCTAAAGTCCTTGCTTTGTTCTTTAGCTTTCCCGCCACAAAGAAAGAAAACGTTAGTCACCGGGGTGATTTTACGCGTTCAAACTCGCCTCATTCTTCTTTTTGAGCGTT